AGAAAAGGAGACTTCTTTCTTCGGTCTATTGTATTAGCCCTAGAGTGAACAGAAATGAGCATTCGCGCCTGAAACATCGTTTACAGCGTTCGATTCCTTTTTTTAATCTTTTCTCTTTTTCAAAAGCTTCTGTTTTAGAAAAAAAATTCAACAAATTTATTTGTTATAAATTTTTTTAATTAATTTTTATTTATTTTTCCTTTTAACTTTTTTGAATATTGAGAAATGCCTTTTAAATTTAAAAAAGGCGAAGTTTTGAAATCACAAGCACGTAAAATTGTGCACAATGTGTTTGAGTTTTTTGCTAATGAAGCTAAGGAAAATGCTCTTAAATTACCTCTCCAACAACCAACTCAAAGAGCATGTCTGGCTACTGGAGTGTCAGACTTCACACTTAGAAAAATAAAAAGAGAAGTTTCTTGTTTAGGAGAAGACTGTGTTGTGCACTCCCGGAAAAAGCAGGAAAAGGAAATCTGGTGGACTTGCTTATCTGGATGATTTCGACAAATGCTCTCTTCTGATTTTCATCGATACTGTTTGTCCAAATACAATGACGAATTGGAATTGTTATTTCTATGAATAACGATAAATAGAATATGTATGGAAATTGTATAAAATTGTTTAAAGCAGCTCAATGTTTTATTCATAAATAACTCATCTATAAATTTATCATACATAGTAAATTGGTCATTAAGAAAGAAAGAAATTTGCTAATAAAAACTTTTTTAATAAATAGTGAAAAAAACTATACAGGTTACAATAAAATATGAATAAGAAAACTTAATTTAAGCAAAAAAATATAAAAACTAAATATTTAAAAATTAATAATAAAAACAAAGATATTTAATATTTCTCCGGCACAGATAACGTCAACTATTTTTATTTTCAACAAAAGTTTTATCTCCTTTTAAAATCAGAGTTATTAAGTTTAAGCTCTTCACTTTTTCCAGAAAATTCAAGTTATAAAAGCAATTAACTGCTTTAAAAAATGTGCAAGTTTAGAAATTAAACCATCTAACAATCAATGAACATTCATAATAAATATCGTAAAATTAAAAAAACCTTAATGTCAGAATTTGTTCACTTTTTTTCCTTTGTATTTAAAAAATAACCGATTGCATAGAGAGAATTATTTTAAGTAAGAAAGAAATATTCATGCGAATCTTAAAAAAATTCTTGAATCAGATTAAATAAGTCGCCTACTGGTGGCTGAGTCAGCCAATCTGGTATATTCCCCATACAAGCTATCATCGAAGCTACCCTCCCTAAAATGCCCTCTTGTTTCCATAGCACCAGACTGCCGTAGACTTAGTGGCAGTCAGAGTACCTATCGTAGACAAACAGTAGGTATAAGTCAAAAGTTGTAATCTGCACAAAGAAACCCTTGTAACTGCCGAAACTATTAAAGTCAGACAATTTGGTTTTTTCCTCTTTTGATATTTCCTCCTTAACCAGGGTTCCCACGGTCCTTGAATTTTTTTTTGCTAAATTTAGGTCCTTGAAAGTGCTTGAAAAACGTCTTAGGTCCTTGAAAAACTGGAAAGGTCCTTGAATTTGTCCAATACTGCCGGCGGCCCTTTTTATAAAACTCCCGCGGATCTTTCTTGTTCTTTCTGTTGTTCCTGAGCTCTCTCACGTGGTTTTTAACGCCACCGTTTCTACCGGGCCTAGCGTCTTGGTGTCTGCCAAGCGCACGGAGCACAGCAGACAATCAATGCGTTCGGGGCGCGACTCCACTTCATCTTCTGTCGCATATGCTTAGATCTTCTTTTTTTTTTTTAATTGAAACTGGAATACTCTCAAATTTCGTAACAATATGTACCTTGTAGTTTTCAATAAATTTGTCGTTTTACCATCCGCACTTGTCCTTACGTTTGCGTCATTTCTAAACTTTATTGTAAAGCATATTCGCAAAGGCACGACTTCGTATTTGCGTTATGTAGTTTAGACTTGTTATGCCTGGGAAGTGCTATTTTAATCCCCAATGGATGGATAATCAAGCTTATAAAGAATGGATTTTATCCATGCCCGAAAAGAAGTTCAAAGCCAAGTGCCGATTAAATATGAAGGAGATCGACATCGCGAAAATGGAAGAATCTGCTCTGAAATCACACATGAAAGAAAGGTAAAACAAAACAGCAGTCTCATGCCCTGAGTTCTCTTTTTCCAGACATCAACATCGTGTGCCCCATGTGAAACAGAAACTTTAGTGGCCGAGGTAACATTGTCTTCTTATCTGGTCAAAAGGAATGTGCTTGATGCTGAAATTCTCTGGAGTCTGAAGTGCATCACTAGTAATTATTCATGTAACTCCTGTGAAGGCATTAGTAAATTGTTCTCCAAAATGTTTGCTGATAGCTGTATAGCGAGACAATTTTTTTGTAGTGCCACAAAGTGAGCCTATTTGGGCTCCTTTGAATTGGCACTATACTTCAAAGGGATTCTTATAAATGAGCTGAAGAATGTTGATTGCTACACTGTACTCTTTGATGAGACGTTAAATCAGTCTCTACAATCTAAGCAGATGGGCATTATGGTAAGGAATTGATAATAAAGTTTGCACTAAGTATCTTACCTCCCAATTTATGGGTCATGGAACTGCAGAAAGTATTTTGTCCTCTTTTTACAAATGCATGGATGATGGTTAAAAGCTATCTAAAATACTTCAATTGGAAATTCTATTAGAAGCTTCAGTGTGAATTAAAAGAGAAATATTCCCACCAGGTCATATTCATTGGCAATTGTGGATTACACATAACGAATAATGCTTTTAAACATGGTGAAAATGGGATATGTTCCTTCTAATTTTTATTTTCAGAAAGAATTTTTGCTGCATAACATTTAGAGAAGGTTGTGTAAATTATGGATGAATAATTTCAGAAACGATGTTTAATAGAGGAGAGGGTTATGGAATAGTCATGGAATATGGAATACCTAAGATTTAGCTCTGCCTTTCATGCAGCCTTCACATGGAAATACACAGGATTAAAGGATTTCACCATTTACACCTTATTACCATTAGTTATAGATTGTGCTGAAAATGATTTTGTGAATTAATATGTAAAACCAGTAGGGTTTTTAAAAAAATATAAATTTAAGTCCATAATACATATACTCTCTTCTCTCTATATAGGCAAAGCATTTAGGTATTATATTTAAAATTAATTATTGCCACAACAAGCATTGTTGCTTCTAGTAAAATAGAAGAGAATAATTTTTAAAATTGGTCTTAGATTAAGGTCCTTGAAAATTTTGTTGAGGTCCTTGAATTTCAATCTCATCATAGAGTGGGAACCCTGTTAACAAATAGTGTAGAAAAGCACTGAGATAAAAATTTAGCTTGAGATAATAAAAGAAAAACAGAAATAAATTATTAAAAATGGTAACCTGTGAGGAACAACCATTCGGGCAATTGAGCAACCCTATAGGAAGCTGACTCATAAAATGCCTTAAAAGTTGAAGATAGAGGTTGAACTTATGATAGTTCATAATTATCTCTAATGCAATGACCATTTTAACAGGACAAGGTAACTTGCATCCTCCACTTAATTCAAATGAATCGCTTAACCTCCCCTCCCCCCTCCAAATATATTTTAAACAGAGGAATTTATTTCAATTAATAAAAATATTTTGAATAAAGTATATTAAATCTATTGCATACAATGTAAACTTTCCCGTGACATTAAAATGTTAACACAAAAACAAAATTATATGCTATAAATCTGATTCAAATATTTTACCTGTTGTAAAAAGGCAATTATATATTTATAGGTATTAATAAAGTTCTTGATTCTAAAGGAAAATGACAAAATTGTCAACTACAAACTAGGTTGCTGTGGGATCATGGAAACCTTGTCAACTTGAAAAATCTTTCATAAATTATTAATACAGTCAATATATAGTGCTATAACCGTTGCGTAGGCAATTTAACTAATGGTTCCCAAACTCCTCCCTTTTATTACACATTATTCAAATAAATAACTGAAAAATATGTAGTATCAAAAAAGTGTTATTTTTCCTAATCTTTGTCTTGCATACAAAAAAAAAATAGTAATCTTTAGCTGATGAGCAATCCTCAACATCAGATATGAAAACATTTCCCGTATCTCTGATAATTTTTCTTGAATTTCTTTTATTCAGTTTTTTAAACCTGCTATTCGGGCACATAAAAGTAGTCTCATAAAATCGCTTAGCGAATTCATCGACTTTTGTCCAAATACTGGAAGATTGCGGCTTCTTGGAATGGCGAACCACTTCTTCAACATCCTTGTGATCTGCTCTTTTATTTAAATTTTTTAGATTTTAAATTTTTTTCACGAGCAGAAATTATTAATTGCCTATTTTCCCATATGCTACAAACTGCAGATTTGGATCGTTTATATTCCCTGCGAATATCAGCTCGATTGCATCCATTTTCAATTTTTCTGATTATGCCATTTTATCATCAATGGAGAACGTTTTACATTTACTGCTCGCCATAGTTAAATTTGAGACACTTGTTTGCAGGATTTTGTTTAACTCAACTGAGAGCAAAAAGGAGTTGAAATGAGGGTCTTATCAGCACATATTAGTGTCCAACCCTTTGAGCAATTATGAATAATTACTCAGTCCCTCCGACAGAAAATGCATATTGATGCAACTTACACCTTACAGGTTCATCATCTGCCGGGGGTTGGAAACATCTGCTTGGTTTGTTTAAGGATGGGAAAGTGAGATAAAAGAAGCAAACAAGAAAATATGCTTATCGCTACATTCCCCTCAATAAATGGTTTTAAAAATCGGTATATGTATTTATTTCAAAGTAGAAATTTCAAAATTATTACAAAAAATATGGAAAAAAATCTGCCGAAGACAGAAAAAAAGTTCATTATATCCAACTCCCTCACTTTTTTGCATCACTATATCCACAAAAAATAACATGCTTGTATAGCAAGGCACGGGGCCGAATTCACTATAGCGGGGTTTGACTGTATATGTAACTTGAAATATGAACAAAGTAATTACTAAACCACATGAGCATTTTTATTAATGAATGCAAATATTTATAAATCACAGAAAACACAATTTAATTATAAGTCATATAACGTGGAGTTGAACTGAATTTTGCATAAGATTTAATAACTTTGTTAATGGCTTCCAAAAAGTCTTTTTCAGTGGCAATTTTACGCCTTGCCCTAATGGCAAACATTCCAGCTTCTGTACAAACACTACGAATTTCAGCACCTACACGGAAAAGATAGAGGTTGAAACACTGAATAATAAATAAGAATGTAAATTTGAAGTTTATATGCACTAAATACATACCTGTGCTGTTTGGGCATAAGCGAGCTAACAGATCATATCTAATGTCTCTTTCTACACTCATTGATCGGGCATGGATTCTAAAAATGTGTGTACGACCCTAGAGGGAAAACAAAATAGAGTTTTTATGAATAATGCTTTATGTGAAAATAAAAGGCAAGGATTGTTAAATAAACGAAAATTGTATAAAGGTTTTTTTTTTTTTTTAAAGAAAAACTATTATGATTTTAATAAAATATATAGCAAAGCACAATATGCTTCTATAGAACATAGGATTATCATTGTGCTGCAGATAATGACAAACATTAAAATAAACCAGTCGGCTGCGCCCCCTGCTCGCCAACCCCCGAAAATTGCTACGCAAACCAAGCTCGCTACTAACTTAGTTACATTGCAAATGCACAAAATTCTAAGAATTCAAAACAATCATTCAAATCCATAAAACAACTTCAAAAAAAAAAAAAACTAAATCTTTTTAGTAAATACTAAGTCATTAAAATAAATTTGAATTCAAATAAATGACATGTAATTCGTTAAACCTATTAGAAATGCGCTATAGTATAAAATCTTAAAGCGTAACAGCATGACTGAGACTCATTTTTCAATGAATAACTAATAACAATAATAAATCAAATAAATTCGTAATATAAATAAAAAATCGTCAAATAAATTCGTAACATATAAATTCGTGAAAAAAAGCGCATTCGACAAAATACTAAAATAGAGATCTATCGACAAAGACTACTCACACCTGCCTAGCTTAATAGTATGAGATTGCCGCAGCTGATAGGGTGAATTTCGGAAGAGATCATATTTGGTGAGAATGCTCTGTCTGGTTATTTCAGCTTCCGTTTTTAAAAGCGTTATATGCTGAGCCACCTCAGCTAGATTTGGCATGTGAAATTTTTAGCAGCAATCATTGGTCGATTTTCTAGCGTTGCCATTCGGGGAGTTGAAATGAGGCTTTTTTTTGTCGCCGTGTAAGAGAAATATATATAGATGGAGTTTCACAAAGATCACCAATAATGTATCTTAATAGAATCCTTGTCAAAATTGAAGTAAAAAAAATTATGCATAATTAAGGTCTCAAATTAATATTTTAGCCAAGGAAAACAGAAAACATGATGAAATTTAATGAAATAAAAATCTAATGGGGCAAAAAAGATCAAATTACAAGTTAAATTGATTATCTAATGAAACTTAGACCTGCTTCTATCACCTTTCTCTCTATTTCTTCCTGCAATTAATCAAGTTTTGTATACTTCCGCTTTTCACGGTGATTATCGTTAGATTTTTATCACATTTTTGCCCTTTGTCCGCTTTAATATTAATACGCTCCTCTGTCTATATAAATTAAAAACCAGGAAAAGTCAGAGTATTTGACACTCAATCAACTTGCTGGTTTTCACTCTTCCATTTTTCTTAATTTGTGCTTGCACAATAGGTGATTAAAAAAAAAAAAAACACTTTTTCCCGATCCGGCTATCATTAGGTACATCTTTAAGATTCTATACTGTCTATTGGATGTCCGAGTAAAGGAACTTGAAACTTCTGCCTCAAGAGTATTGAGATGTTAGATTTTTTTAAAATCCTCTTTAGTTACTCAGTTTTGGCTGTTCTCTATTTATTATGACAAATTGTTTTTTAATTTTGGATAATACATTATTATTGCGATTGATTAATTAATATGAACAAAACGTTTTTTTATTGACCTATATTTATCTATTTGACAAAGATTAACAAAACAATATTTTTCAATTGAATAAATTCTGATTCTATAGAAAATCGGTATCATTTGCAAGTTTTGCTTGATGTGGAATCACGTTTGCTTTTGTTAAAAATTGTCAGCATTTATAAAAATAATAAAGGAGAAGATTGTTTTTTAATTTAAGCATACAACTATTTATTACTAATAGCAGACGATTATTTTAAAAAGCAAATTACAGCTTTATTTAGCATTTTGCTACAGTAAAATTTGTGCAAGTTAGCAATTAGTTATACGTATGTGCATGTATAATAAATAAAAACAATCGCTTTAATTTTAACTGCTTATTAATGGCTGCTAAAAAAATTATAGTCAAATATTTATCTCAATATTAAAGGAATAATTATAAATCACAATTTTTATAAAATCAAAAATGAAATATCAAAACACATATTTTAGTGTAACTAAAAAATTATCCTGCATATCATTGAGCAATTGATAAACTGTATATTTAGTATTTTAGCTATTTGACATTTCATAATGCTTATTCAAAGATTGAAATAAATTAATGAATAAACGATTGCATGTAATTGAAATCTGCAGTAAAAACATGTACGAAAAATCATTCAAATATGAATAGAAAAATAAACAGCTCACCTCTAGATCAGGCAAGCCAAACTCAATCTTCCTATCTAATCTACCAGGACGCATTAGAGCAGGATCTAAAATATCAGGTCTATTAGTAGCCATCAAAACCTTGATATTGCCTCGAGGATCAAAACCATCCAACTGGTTAATGAGTTCTAACATTGTTCTTTGAACTTCATTATCACCTCCAGCACCATCATCGAACCTCGCCCCTAGGAAAAAAAATTATGAATGAAGGCAAAAGAAAATTTCACTTAACAAAGATTTTAAATTTATTCTTCAGCTATTATTGCTGCTAATTTAGAGCATGAGTTCATTATAATGCCTTACCTCCAATTGCATCTATTTCATCAAAAAATATTAGACAGGCCTTTTTATTCCTTGCCATCTCAAACAGCTCGCGAACCATTCGAGCACCCTTGAAGAGAAAAATAAAGTCAGCAGGCTCATAAACAACATAAAAGCTTATTATTAAAAAATTTTAAGTAATTTTATCTAAGGTAAAAGCACCAAGGGCTAGAAATATAAAATACAAGTATGATATAAAAAGTACCAAATACAGAGAAACCTGTAAGAGTTGACCATTTGCGGTGCATTGATTTAGTGGTTAACTAATAAAGGGGAATGAATTAGGTTTAATTTATAACAGATTTTTATGGACATTAAACAAAGGAGTTTAGGTTACCTTGAAACACTATTTGCCCACTTCCGTGAAGTTTCAATACATAACAATATAGCAAAGTAAATTTCCTGACAAACTTTTTTTTTTCTGGTTAATTTCTGTAGGATTTAGAATAGCATGCAAAAACAATCTTAAACGAATTTGACTTAATTTAGACAGTCAATATACAAGAAAGACATGTAGACAAAAAGCAATAACTTTCAGTTCCTGAAAATATTTTATTATTTCTGGAACTGGATCTTCCGACCTAATTTACCAGGATGTATTAGAGCAGGATCTAAAATATCAGGCCTATTAGTAGCCATCAGAACCATCCAACTGGTCAAATAAGTTCGAACATCAGTCTTTCAACCCTTATCAAAACAAGAATTCAATTGATAGAATTTTTTGTGAAAACTGCAAGATAATGAGCTGTAAACTAGGAGATAGGCCAACGTTTTTTAACGTTACACACTAAATTATTCCATTACCACACGATGCAAATAAATTCTAACATTCTCATATTGTTTAACAACTAAAAGATCAAAAAACGTTTTTTATAGTAATTGTTGAAATTAACATTGCACAAGAAAAAACCGGCCAAATTTTATAAAAGTTGGTTAAAAAAAGTGTAAACTACAGCTTATACCAATACTTAAAATTTTTTTTATATAATTACGCTTTGATAGATTTTTTTCAATAAAAAGATTTATATATTTGAAAGATTATTACTTTGATTTCTTAACTCTAAATAGAGTTTTAACTATTTTTTTTTAACTCTTTTATATTAAATTGTACTTTATATATGCAGGGGTAGTTGTTAGCCCAACTCAAAAATCCTGAAATTTTTTTGACTAAAATCATCAATTACGCAATTCAAAAAAATTAATGACTTTATAAATTTAAATCAGTTATATTTTTCACAACATGAATTTTTAAATAAATTCTATGCAGCATAATGTAAATGAATAATTATGCATAAGTTTACTTTTATCTCTAATCACATTTATTATTCTACCAGAAAAAATATTTACAAATGAAAGAGATGCCAAGTATAAATTCTAGTTCTAATATTTTAAATAAAATATATAAGAACTAGGAGGCTCCGCCCCCTGCTCGCTAACGCTCGCCAACCTCCGAGAATTGCTACGCAATCCTATGTGGTTCACGCAGTGAACCATGGCTCGCTGCGCTCGCTCGCCAATGAACACAATGCTCTAGCACAAAGACATAATATATTATCATCAAAGACATAGTATTTTATCATCAAAGACATAGTATTGTACTTATGTAGAAGAATTCTACCAATGTTCTTATTGGCTTCTAAAAATTAGATTGTACATGGTGAAAAAATCAAAACATTAGCTAAATAAGAAACATATTAGCAAAATAAATTATCAAATATTGCTTCACTAATATTCTGCATTTTAAAGCGTGAAAATTCAATGCATAAATAAACGCGAAATATAAAAAAATTAAATGCATTCAATACAAACACTTAAACGTTTTTTAGGCGTTTAGGTAGCTCCCAGTAGAAAAATATCAATTCAACAGCGGCCTTTTAAAGCATTCTCACTTCAATTAATTAATTAATTCCTAATTGAGTTTAAATTAAATATTATCATGTTTTTAGTGCATGAATCTGAATTGAACAACCTGATAATGCTCACTCTGGTTATCCAATCAATTAAAAATGAAAACTGTTGCCAGCGCGAGAAAAGAAATATCGGTTTTATTGATACATACATACGTACGTATTAGCGTTTTATATAATATAGACATTTACACATAAATGTGATCGACGATTTCTTGGAACTTCTGGACCTCGGATATCCAGATCACAATCCTCTCTGTATATGTACATATATTTGCCCTTTCGTTGAATTTTTATTTCATTACTAAAATATTAAATTTATCACAAGTATTTACAACATCAAGATCTTACTAGTATACCAATTTTTCTGACTAAAATTAAAATACTAGTAATCACTGTGAAAAGTTGTTTACCTTTTGATATTACTTTTAAACAATACATTTGACACAGGAAATACCCCTTAATGATTTTGAACTATTATAACTTATTGTATTAACTATTATAAAGATATCAGTCTAGTATATGAGTAAAGTGTTTGTTTTTTCTCCAAAAATCTTTGAAGAAGTAGATAATAATCGATAAGTGGTTTATGAATTCTGCAAAATGCAAACAAAAGACATTTATTTTAGCATAAAGAAGTAATTATCTGTCCTAAAAAACAATAATAATGCTTTTTGTTTCACATACAATGCACCTTTTTCTTCTTCCTAATTCTGGAAATCCTTGTTGACATTTTTAAACCAATAAAATAACTGGCATAAACAAAATTTTTTATCTGTTTACTATGACGGTACAAAAAACGAAGATAATATTTTTAAAAAATGAATAACAAGCATGATATAAATGCAATAAAAATAAGGTTAGCAACATACTTCTCCAACATATTTTTGTACAAGTTCAGATCCAATAACTCTTATGAAACAAGCATCAGTTCTATTAGCTACAGCTCTAGCACAAAGAGTTTTTCCAGTTCCAGGTGGTCCAAAGAGTAAAACTCCTTTGGGAGGCTCAATACCCAAGTTAACAAATTTCTCTGGCTATATATAGTAATACAGAAATATAAAATCTTAATACACATTTTATTCAAAGCACTAACACATAATTAATTATATTTATGAGTAACAACACTATGTACACTCGGCGTATCTAAATTAACAAGTAAAACACAAGACTTATACTTCGAATGTAAAATCTTAGCATTTTTAAAAAGCAAAACTCCCTTGCGAGAGGATGAATTTTAAATATAGGGGAGAGTTGGACAAAACGGGATACCATTATTGTTTTTATTTACTGCTGAATATCTGTTAAGAAAAACCATACATAATTTTTTTTGTAGCTACAACATTTATTGAAGCACACAAAAAACATATTTTCAACTAATTTTAATGACCGTGTGTTAAAAAAAAATTAATATCCAAACTCTTACATATCCCGTTTTAGCATACCTGGGTTGGATAAAATGGGATAGGGTTTACAATGTTTAATTTTTTGCATAAAACTTAGTGAAAAGCATAATTAACTGACAGAGAACTGCAAAGCAAAATGTCTATAAATTATATTTATGGGATTTTACTGTTCTAACACTTTTATATAGATTGTTATTTTATAAGTAAGTACACAAAAAAATATTATGCTACATTTGCTTTTAAAGACTGAGTTTTCAAACATGAAGGCTTATTTTCGTTGCCGAAATGTGCCTTGTGCTTTTAAGAGAAATTTCTTAGCAGCCTTTTCTTCAATTTTCTTAGCTATTTTTTATAGTTTAATCATCCTTTCCTTTTCTTCCATTTCTAATTCACTTTCATATGGAGACGATGTTATTACTACAGTTTTTTTCTTTCTTTTATCAGCCATTTTTTCTGGGCTAGGTCCTTTTACTTGAGGTACAGGATTGAAAAGGGTAACTTAGGGGGATAATAGGAGGGTTCTAATCCTTTCTCCCCTGAAAATGTTGCAGATTGGTCTTCTCCTACGATGTCCCTCGAAGATGTGTGTCCAGCCGTGTTAAAACAATTATTAAAACTAACTCTCCATTGATGTCGCAACATCCATGAAAGACTCTTTAATAATCAAGTATTTAAATTTTTCAGTAAACAAAGAGAAGAAATTCTTTTTAGAATTGAATGTAGATTGAATTGAGATATCCAGAAAATTAAGAAGTTTATATGTAAAGAAGCTCAAGTCTTCATCAGAGAAATACATTACAATTAGTTCTAAAGAAAAATGTGAAATCTTAGAGTCGAAAATAAAATACATAATAATGAAGGCTAATAAACAAAATTTGCTTTACTATATAAAGAAACTAAATTTTTCAAAAATATATGTAGCTATTATAAATAAGTTTTTCTAAAAGCCTAGGCCTACATTAATATATGGCTATTTTAAAATGTAATAATCTAACAAATTAATAGACGGATAAAACGGGACATAAAAAACTCTATCCCATTTTATCCAACTCATAAGTGTCCCGTTTTGTCCAACTCCGACACTTTTTGAAACAAACATGGCTGCTGCCTAAATGTGAAAAGAAAATTAAAAAGACTGCACATAAAAATATTGGTAAATAAATGGTTAATCAAATTTAATACTCACCACAATTTTATTCCCATATATGTACACAGTACAATGTAAAAAAACAACGCACGTAAATGTAGAAAATGGCAAAAAAATAGAGTAAAAAAGTTCAGAGACTTACAATTTTCTATCAAATAGTGAGCTCGAGGTGGGACACACCGAGAATAATATAATCACGGTCGAATAACACGTTTTTGTCGTTGTCCACTAGATAGCTACAATAGTCTGGTCCCTAGGCGACGTTTCCCGTTTTGTCCGACTATCCCGTTTTATCCAACTCTCCCCTACATACTTTTTCATGACTTTCAAAGTATTTCTGCTTTAATATTTATTTTGTTATTATATGGCTACCTTACATTTGATGTCAGGATATAATAAAGTCTAAATTTTAAAGAAATGTAACTTTTATTTAAATATTCAAAAATTATCGAGAACTTGATAATTTTCACATTTAACTTGTTATTTTACATACGGGAGATATTTCTTTACAAACAAAAATTTAACATTTGAATAAATGTAATGGTTCCATATTAACATAATATTATTACTTAATGCTTTCTTGCAAAATATAATGTAGTTGTTAGAGCACATTTTAACACTATTTATATTAACTACTTATGGGTGAATTATTTGGTAAATAAATTAATATAGAAAGAGAAAATTATTGGGACAAGCACAACATTTGTCCAGAGCAGCCGAATACTAACTATTTGGTGCAACCCTATATAGCATGTGAATTTATTTAACTCATATAAAAGTACTCTTATTCAAAAGTACACATTATGAATGCAGAAACGCAAAAAATTACATCGAGGCCATCAAACTTTTGATCCCTCTCTTAATTAAATTTGTTTTGCACCAACAACAGGATTTTTACAAATTGCCAACCCTGATGTTTTGAGGATTGAAAATCCAAATCTAACAAAAAATTATGATTTTACAATTTATACAATATCAATTAACTTTAATTTATTAATTATTTGTATACTCAACTCGTAATTAAGCATTTGCATACTAATACATAAAAAAATTACATTATACAGTGAGTTATTTAGTAAGATCAATACTGCATAAGATCAATATCAATATATGATAAGATCACTGCATGCATTGTTAATTCAGGAAATATCATCTTACATGGAGAAGAGGAGTTTCAACAACTTCCCTCAACTTTTCGATTTGTTCTTTACAACCACCAACGTCACTGTAAGTTACATCAGGCTTCTCTTCAACCTGCATCATGGTTACAGTAGGATCTATCTTAGGTGGAAGAGGAATATGAATTTGGTATTTATTTCGATCAACTCTAAAATAGAAAGATTTTTTTTTTTTAAATTTAGATTTGTTTTATATATGCACATGAAATCTATAACAAAATATCTTTCGCTATTGTTTAAAAAATTTTTTTTTGCTTTCTTAGGTACTTTTAAGTTAAATCATTTTCTTTAAATTTAGGACTGATTTTTACGGATTGAAAAAATTTCCTGTTCTTTGGTTATTGTGTATTTATAAATTTTTAAAAATGTAAGAATTTTTCATGAAAAAAAAAAAAATAACAATTCAGCTTAGAAGAATCTTCACTTTTGGGCATGTAATCCATATAAGTTATGGAGGCTAAAAGATGTAATTACTTAGCTGGGCCTTAAACATGAATAACTGTTTTGATTCAAATCTATACGCATGCCATTAAATATTTAAAAAAAAAAAAAAAAAAAAGCAAGAGCAGTGCAATGAATTATTTGAATTGTTCAAGGTGAAAAAAATAAGCAAACACATTTTTTTTTTTTTTGCTTTTTAAAGGGCCTAAACCTATAAATGTAAACCTGTAATGATTTCTACTACATATGACCAATGAAATACAGAGGACAACAACAATAATTTTGAACAGATAAAAATAAAAAAGTAAGAAACCATGCTAATTTTTAGCAGAAGTATTATGGTTTGGGCAGCTGCTTTGTTTAATGTGTTGAAATTTTTAAATTTCCATGTTCAACAACTTATTTTAATTTTGATTCATAACATATTATGCTGAAAGTTTTGACAACAATGAATGCAGCTTCAAATAGAAGAATTTAAAAGCATTTAACTCTTAACAAAAGGATAGAAATAAAACTTAATTCCTCAATAAAATAAAAACTTAATTCCCCTTCAAAAACAACATAATATTTGCACAAATTAAATGGATATACACTACTTTGAACAGAAATACAAACTACGGAAAATATAGTGTTTAGAATAATTAAAATATCATAATTATATATCACAATATCATTATTAATATCATTAAATATCACAATATCATTACACTCAATTAATTTAAGATAGTAAAATAACAAATACCAAGTGAAAAAAACAACAAGCCCTACCCAACTCTCATTCCTTCTTCAATATCAGTAGGTGCAACAGAATCTGCAAGATCAACCACAAATTTTGCAAATTGTTTTACATTAATGATATATTTAGGATCATCAGAGTCTGTGGTGATAATTTTGGTGCAGCGTGCAACCTGCAAAGGTTGCTCATTTTGAAGGGTTTGTTTGTCAGCAGCAAGATCCCAAAGTGCTGGAGGAGCAAGACCCGTGTCAGATTCTTTGATACCTATAAATAAATTTATATTCAGACATCTGTAAATTAATTGCATGAATTGAATACATCCAGATATAATATTGATAATGAATAAATAAACTTTGATAACATTTGAAACATTGGAGGAATGCAAGGCATATTGGGATTTTTTAATCATGCACATTGTTGCTGCCCGTTTTTTAGTGAAAATGTTTCAATACAGTGATTCTGAGTGTATATCTATATTGTGGCTAACATAGGCTTCAAATCTTAACCTTGGGGACTCTTTTACGCAAATAATTCCAAATTCATCTCTGAATGCAACACTATCATTCAAGAGGTTACTGAAAGCTTCAATGTTTTGACAATTTAAAAAGTTAAGCAGAATTTCATTAGTTGTCTCCCCACCCTCTCATAGCAAGTATGGGCAAGTATAAGACATCAAAAACTGAATACTTGTTCAACTTTTAAAATGTGAATGTAATATGAATAATTATAATTAGATTTTTAAAAACTAATGACTCCTAACTCAATAGTTTTTAAAAATTATATTTTTTTAAAATTTCATATAGTTTAATATCTATCACCGTGCAATAACCTTCTGAGCATTAACTCTAATATTTTCTAAATTATAAGTGTTGGTTAGAGTCCTGCAACAAATCTAATTTTTACTCATCAAACAAAGTCCTGCAGAACAATTTGTATCTTGAATAAAATTATCTTTAGCTTTGACCACTTGCTGTTTCATAGGAATGATGCTGCTTTAGAAGAGGAACATTTGACACCCTGCACAAATTTCAGCACATTTATCAGTAATCTCCCTCTCCCATATCTTTGCCATTCTGAGGAGGAAATTAATGAATTAGCTTTTGGCTATAACATTTTTATAAAATCGGTGTATCAGTCTTTAGCAGACAGCAGGAGAAATCGATCAAAATTTTTATCAAGAGAGCTTCTAAAGCAAGCTGTAAAAGAATTAAATTCCGAGATTTCCAATATCATAAAGTTTATGACTTTAATATTTTCCATTCCCATTTCATAAGCAATTTGTGAATCCTGGGGATCCACGATTGACAGAATTGTTTCTAAAAGACCAAATGCTTTCGATGTCAATGAAGAAGTTGTTGGAACAACAGACCAGCGAATGTTTGTGTTTGCAAATGGTGCACTATCTGGGCACTTGTCCCTTCTAAAGATATTTTAGGCAGCCCTTATTTTAATGATCGGACCTTAACATTGTAGGCATTTTATTAATAATTCATCATCATCATCAACAAAATTTTGTACTTCAAAAGTGATTCAAAAAGTAACAAATTAAGAATGTTTGCTTTGGTGTAAAAAATAATGTAGTGTATCTGTGTACAATCCTGTATTTTAATAAATGAAAATAAAGTATTTTAACGTAAAGTTGGCTTTTTTTTCGCTGTGAAATGCATGCAGAACATTTGTATAAATTAATAAGTCCTGTTGTAGAATATTTGAAAATTTTCTGTTTTTGGGGTTATATGTTAGGTTTAGAAGCAAATATAAACAAACATGTAATGAAAATAAACTTGCTAAGACAAATATTGTAAAAACAAGCTAAAATAAATAACTATAATATTAATAAGAAATATTTCAGCAAATACAGCGCAGAAAATATTAAATCAGAAGAATTACCTGTCAGCTCATTCACTTTTTTAAGAATTCCTTGAATATCATCTTCAACTTGTTTTATAGCTTTACTGTATTGGCCAACACCCTGTAAACAACATATCTGGTCTTAAAACAAAAGTTAATACAATAATATGATAAAATTACAAAAACCACTGCAATTATACTTACATAAGTTTTCAAGAGAGCAATGTCACCTTCATCCAGAGCTGTAAATAAATGAAATAAACACTATAATCATAATTATATATATATATATATATATAACAAATAAATATATATATATATAACAAATAAATGTACATGAAACAGACAGACAACTTTAAACTTCTCACACATTAGGATTACGGAAATCAGAGAGGGACTTTCTACCGAGGAGAATCTCTGTATTGGTACCTGTACCAAAATAAATAATACACAGTATGTTAAAAATAATCGACAACTTTTGAACCTATTATTTTCACTAACTGTACACAAACCTTTTCAACTGACACTAATTTGAAATAATCGAATCGACAACAAAAGACAATAGCGAAAATATTAGTTTTTCTTTAATTTTATTTTACTTTATATGTCTTTTTTCTCTTCATTTTCATGAATTGTCATCCAATTCTAAGTTATGTGCCAAATTTGAAGTCTGTAGCTAGTCGGGAAGTTAGTTTAAAATGATTACAAAATTCTACCCAAACAGAAATACACGAAGGCAAGTTGATATAAACGTGGTAAATTCCCCTTTCGAATCCTTGGCTTTTGCAATTGGTGTGGACAGACACTGGTACACTCTGTACTATCATGATCTGTCATGCCAACTACACTCGCCAAGGTGCCAAATGGATTTAAAACGTCCAATAAAAAAAAAAAAAAAACACATAGATGTTTGCCTGGGGGAGGCTACGAGTTATACCTTTCGAGTTGTTCCCTTTCTGTGATGCTTTTTTTAGTTTCTTGTGGGCCACTGCCCGGAAGTTTCCAAGACTTGGCGATTATTCTGCCACAGATCCTACGGAACTCTCCCCAATTGCAGAGTCAACAATTGGTTTTAAAACTTGCAATTTTTTGAAAATAAAAATATGTGGAAGTTTACAAAGGGGATGGGTAAGTTACACCCTTTAAGTTCGTCCTCTTCAGTAATGTTTTGTTTTCTTTTTAAATTTCTTCTGGGTTGGGTGTTGTTGTTGCTCATTTACGTCGCACTAGAGCTGCACAATGGGCTATTCTCCTGGGTTGGAAGCTGCCAAGACTTAGTGATTATTCTGCTGCAAATTACAATATAGAACTCTTTCCTTTCTCCTTCTCACTTAAAATAAAGCTTTTTTAAGTGATTGTCAATCGCACTTATAAACCACATCGTTTACGGATATTATATGTAACGTAACAAAGGCATACAATCCTGTAAAATTCTTTTAAATATCGTTGCATACTACAGATATTTTTAGCTTCGTTAAATTTCCCGAACTAAATAAACCTCTTTCAAATTTTAAACCAAATTTTTTAGTATTTTTTAATATCTTTTCTCACAATACAGTATACACAGGCTTCTACACAATTAAAAATAAGCAGCATTGTCAATATTAAGACTCAAAACGGGTGATATAATAACAGTTGCTACTAAATATACAAACAAGTGCATCGATTTGATAAACAAAATGCTTTTTAAAACACTTTATCACCATTTAAAAGTGTTCATAAAAGACATACGAAAAAAAGAAGTAACACAGGACAATACAATAATTTGGAACGTAACATAAATTTACAATTTTAAATACCTTTAACGTCTTTTTCTTTCTCCTCTTTATCTTCCTTTCCTTTTCGCATATCATCTCCTAAGTAATCAGGCATCTTAATAAATTTTATAAGTTAATTCAACAACAAAAACGATCCAACTTTTCTTAACATAAACACCAAAACAACTTAGTCAGAGCTGAAACCGTGGTCAAAGTTAAGGCAGACTTGGAAATTGTTTTAAATAAATAAATTAGTTAATAGAAGTATCAGAAAGAAAACATTTCTATTAATTTTTTTAAAAAAATAATAATTTCATTAAAAATGTATTCGAATCTGTAACTAATTAATTTTACGATAATATTTAAAATCAAATCGTATAGTGAATTGCTCACAGAAATAGACAAACAATTGCTATTCAATGTTTTGAAACACAAACAAAATAAATACTAACAAACACATGGTAAATGCTGATTTTTATAATTATATAATTATCTTGTTTCATAAATATAATTAATACTTATTTAAAAACCGTTCTGTTTTATAGGCTTGTCTCATTTCTTCGTTAGTCTAATTATTAAATGATAACTTATTTCATTTTCGTTTATCAAGTTCTTTTTCGATGTAATTTTTTGAAAGATGCTTAGAGTTTGAGATTTAGACTGATGTACTGAATCAAAGATATTTCTATAATTAATTACCGTCATCATGCAACCTCAATTATGTTTTTTTCAAAACTGAATTTTTAGGACGAAGTTGAAAAAAGATTAATTTATAGTACAATTTGTTTACACGTAAAACAAAGGTATCCCATTGCATTAAAAATTTATCACCAGCGAATCTATCCTAAACTGTTTTTATACCGTGCCTATTAATTTCTTTTAGTTAATTGGTAAAGAAACAACTTTGTAGAGCCCAAAGAGTTTGTATGAATTAAAAGGTTAAAATGAAATTTTTCTCGTCTAGAAACGCTATAAATTTGTCATGATAAATATTTAATTTGCTAGTGTCAAGGTTTCTTAGTTCAGGGTTCATTAATATTACAAGCATTTTTGTAGAAACCATAGGGTATTGTAATTGAGAAGTTTAATTTGTAAAATTATGATAATTTGCTAATAAATTTTTGATTTTCTGTAAGAGGAATGTACAATCCACGTAATTGGCCAAAGTAGAATTTGCTTTCAACCAGGGTTGGCAGGTTTTTGACATGTGACAGTTTTTGACAGTTTAAACCATGGTTTAAACTGTCGTCAAAAACCTCACTGTCGAAAATGTCAAAAACCTATATTCATATGTGAAATTTAATTAATACATAAAATTTATATATTTTTTAAAGGATAGTGTTTCTAAATATGTTCTAGAAAAAATAAATTTTGAAGAGTAATATTATGTATATTCATTTTCATGTGTTATTGAAAATCTGCAGTGATATTATTAAGAAATTTATTTATAACCAAATTTAGTGTATAGTATAGATTATACTAAAAATTAGACATTTTTAAAGATAAACATTAGCAGTTTTGTACATTAGACATCTTTTAAAGAAAAATCTTTTTAATATTCTTTTAAATCTTCTTAATAATCTTTTTAACATAAGACAATACAAATTTAAGTGCTTTCTGTTAAATACACAGAGTAGTTAGTGTCGATTTACAGTATATTCAGCCTATTCATTTACTATGCTGAAAATTTAGTTTATCCAAATACTTGTGAATTTCATTTTGCTGAATACTATATAGTTTTGTTGAATATCTAAATATTCAGCTGTTGAATAATTACTTCTTGCTTTCAAGATATGCATTATTTGTATTCTTAATACAAGTGGAGAAAAAAAAATTAAGAGATAAAAATTGTTTTAAAATGATAAGTGTAATAATTATAAATAAATATAATAAACAATATGAATTATATTTATCATTATTCACAAATATAACTACTTTTAAATTCAAATTAACATACTGGATAATAAAGATATTCGGTATAACATTAAAAAAATATTTTATACACTTGTATCAAGTTTGTATTTATACAACATAACTTGTAAGTTCCTTATAAATATTAGTTATATGTTCCTTATATGTCAAAAATGCATAATAATAAACTTTTAATTTTCTTAAGTATCAAAAAGAAGAAGAAAAAATTTTTTAAATATAAATATTTAAACAATTTGTGTGCAAAATTTTTCTGCACATGCATTTGAATATAAATTTCTGAGATTTTAAATCTGTTATTTTACCTTAATTTTAATTAAAAAATATTTTAAAACCTGCTGATTACCTATAGTATAATTAATTTTCAATATAATGCATGGCAAGTGTTGGTAGTTTTGAAGTTTATATATTTTCTTGGCAAACTTCAGTTTTTGACATTTTTGACAGGTTTTTGACGGTTTAAACCAGTATTATACCCTTGTCATGTCAAAAACCACTTTTTGACGTCAAAAACCCAACCCTGCTTTCAACGACTTATTAAAAAAATTTTTCCCCTAATGTATGCACAGTAGAGTGCCAATTTTTCGAATTGGAGAAAATGCTTCTTTATTTTCACAATATTTAAAAAGCGTCAAAAAATCAAATCTTTTGTCTCTTGGCGATCTTGAAAAGCACCTCATTTGTTCTGTCCAGTTTCAATATGGGTGCTGAGTAGTTTCAAATAAGGAAACAGGTTTCTAAAAATTTTTAAAACTTTTGAACACATTATTTGTTATATTCTCTAATAGACACTACTACAATTGCCAATCCTAAGCCTGAAAAAAGTGTGAAGGATAATTACTTATTAAAATTTGTCAAATTATCTGAATTTTTCATTATCCTTAGTTCTGAATCATCCAGATAATTGGTGCCCTTCTGTGTGTGTTTTCTAAATACAATTATAGTTTGAGCTAAATAATGAGAACTTGAATAAAAGGATTTTAAGTGGAAATAAAATTTTAAGTTTTACTTGCCATGATTATTGATAATTTAAAAATAATAATGTAATTAGCTTTTTCTATTTTACATACATTGACTATTTATATTACTGTGTATATTTTTTCGATTCATAATCAAGATGGAGGATTCTTCAGATGAATACATTGAAGATGCTGTTGTTGCAGATGTAATACAACAACAACTGCAGGAGATTCCTAAGCGTCAAATAATTCCAGTAAATAATGTGGTGAGTTTATTTGCTTAAATTTTATTAAAGAAAAAAAAAAAAAAAAAAACAACCTTTCATGCTCAAAAAAGTTTTTATTTAAAAAGTTATGCTTGGGGTTTTAATTTGTTATAACTATAATATTTTAAAATTTGTTTAACTCCTTCAGGATCGTGATCATTGCAAGATTCTGTCTTCATAGACTAAAATATATATAAAATGGGCATTTTTGAATTTTAGTATCCAAGGTTCGACATATGTGATCTCATTACAATACTCTCATATTAGTATGCATGTCTAATGAAGCGCTAAAAAATTAGAGTTAGATTTAATTTTTATTAAGTATGTAGCTGTCTTTGTTCACTAAGCCTTAACTAGCAGTAGTATTTGACCAAGGCAAAGTGAACGAACTTAGCCTTTAAGTGCAACAATTAGTATTAACAAATTTATATCTACATTTTTCGAAACACATGTAGTAAAATAAGTTGTTATTTAAATATTTTTTTTAAAATTATATATATAAATAATTTTTTTTTGTATTTTAATGGAATAAAATTTATGATGAATAATTAAAATGAATTTGTTATATTACTCACTAATCAGTCTATCTTTTAAACATATACGATAATTTGAGAGATTTCAATAAAACAAATACCTATTTAAAAAATATTTTCGAACTACAGATAAAAATTATGACTGTTAAGCATAATTTGACTTTGATTTATTGATCTTTGGTTCATTCAAAACTAGCTTTGCTATCGCGCTATTTTTGGTACAATAGTTTCAATTTTCAACAAAAAGCAAATAAATAATTATCTTATATTTTTCAAAAACTAAAAGTGACATTTTTTATGTTTTTTATTTCTCAACACTATCACTTATAATTTGTCAGATATAATTTATTATTTTAAAGTTTGTTTTGGTAACTGTATTTAATCTTTTAATATAATATATATTTTTAAATTAATCTAAAAAAACTTAATCAGAACCCATATCTAAATATTTTATAGTGAAAATTGAAAAGTTTTGTTCATTAAAGACAAGTTTTGAAAAAGTTTGCACATATATATTTTATTTAATTATTAATTTTATTTTGAGCAATTATAATTTATACTTAAAAGTCAATGAACTAATTGTATACATAAGAAAAAGTCTGAAATAAAATTTTACTTTAATTGAAGTAATAATAAATATATTGGTTTCTAGAGATTTTACCCTTCTTTGATCTTGATAATCATTATTCAAAACTATCTTTGTTTGTATTCTAAGGTCTTAGCTCTAATTTAAAATTTTAATTTTCAGGCTCGTAATTAAAATTTTGAAGTCATTTTTTATTTCAAAATTTTTAAAATTTTTTTTATTACAGAAAGGTCTTAAGCAGAAGTTGGTTGATATACAATTAAATTTTGATTGGTCTGAAAAGTTAGATATCTCTATAAACAATGTTAGCAATGATGAAGACAAGTCTAAAGAAACCTCTGGTTCATCAGCAGACGATGATTTCCAACGAGAAATGTCTTTGTAAGTATCCATATATTTATTTCTTGAGAACTTTAATGCATTGGTAAATTTTGATTTAGTTGGTTTAAGTTTGTCTATTTTCCTACATTAAAATTTTAAATAATATTATCATAAAATACATTCCCCCCCTTTTTTTTATTGAATTGTGAAAATTAGAGCTGAGATTCTGAATGAATGGAAATTAATGCTCTTATAAATCAAGTTTTTAAATATTACAGTTGTGATATCTCTAAAGTATGCCAAATCAGCAGAAATAAAATATTTCTTTTGGTAATTTTTTAAATTGCTTTAAAAATTATTATAACTGGCATTTTATTTATTTTTTTGGTTTTTATGCAATTTATATGATGTTAAACATTGTGCGGATTTTAATGATATAAAATGTAATTATTTAAACTTTAATGTAAGAGTTACGCATTTAAGTCTCTTTTTTTTTCTTTATAGTTATAATCAAGCTTTAGCTGCTGTTTCAAAGGCTTTCAAGCGTTTGAAGAAACTTGGAGTTCCTACAAAACGACCTGATGACTATTTTGCTGAAATGGCTAAATCTGATGCTCATATGTTAAAAGTATGTATATTGTATAAAGTTAAATGATTTGCATGTGGCATATTTTTTATTTCCATATTAAATATTAGCGATTCATCTTAGTTACAATTTTCAAATGAAGTGTTATTTTGTTTGTATTAAAAAATATTTTCAACAATTTAACGCAGAATTAAAATGTATTTATTCAATATAGTTTTTTTTTTTAAATTTTGATTCTAAAAAATCAGCACTTTTTGTGTTAAGATTTATATTTTTGTTTCCCTTTCTAGGTACGAGAGAAGCTATTGAGCAAAAAGACAGCTGTGGAACGTACTGAGAAGGTCAGAGCTATGAGAGAACAGAAGAAACTTGGCAAAAAAGTTAGTAATTTTTGTAAACAAGAGTTAATTTAAGTCACAGTAAATTGATATGTGTTCTTGATTTAGTCATAAGATTTTTCTCTTTCATTGAATTTCTTATTTTCATGCTGACATCCTTTTATTTTTAATTTATGTCTGCTAATTCAATTGGAATTTAAATTAATTGATGAGCACCTGAGCCTTTGTTGTGATTGTTTTACGAATCAGACATGATTTATTCACATGTTTTATTTTTAAATTTTCATAAAGCTATTTTGTAAATCATTATCTGAATACCTAATAAATGCTACCCATTCTGTGAAGCTTAAATGCCATATGAATTATAATTTGTTAATGTTAATAGCATTTAATTACCTATAATTCTTTTTTTATAAGATTTATTTAATTAAAAGAACTTAATTCCAGTTAAATGCTGTTGAATGATTATAAAATTAATTTTTGAGTTCAAAAGTTAAAATGACTGTAATTTATGTTATATATTCTACACATTTTCATTTTATTATGTATTTATAAATAATATCCATTTTTATGTATTTTTCTGTCATTTAATCTCTTTCACTTCAAATATTTTTATTCAAAGCAAAAAATCCCCAAACTTGCCTTTCTAAGAAACTCTTGCTGCTACTTGCTAGACATAAAAATTGAGTTTAATGCTGAACCATATAGTCACTAATAAACACTGAAATAGTATGATTTTAGATCATATGTTTCTGCTCATGCATATTGATTTGGTGTTATGAAACAAGCAAATAAATGTGTAGTTCTATGACATAAGTAAACATAAGGTAAAGTGAAATTACTTTAAATCTTATTTGTTTAATCTACTACATGTTCCATGGTCAAATTATCGAAAAATTTCAACTCTCATAAACTTAAGCTTATTATATTTATTTCATAGTGTTTTCTCCCTTTAAAATAGGTCTTTCAAAGATTCTAAATCTGCATTCAAAGTTCTTAATTTTTATAATAATAAAACCCTGTAAACATATGACAAGTTTGTCCCGTTAAATTAAAGAATAATTGTCACACATATTTAAATTTTATGTGGATAAACACGCTTCATCCAAATTGGTGGAAAATGCATGTATTTTCACCATATATTGCAGAGTTATAATAAGTAAATTCAATAAAAAATGATTCTTTGAAATCTTCCAGATGCAAACCGAAATAGTTCAACAAAGGAAACAAGAAAAAAAGAAGATGATTAGTGCTCTGAAAAAAACTAAAAAAGGTATAATTAAATAAGTGCCAACTTCTATTGTTAGATGTTTTTTTTTTAATGTCTCCTATATTATTTATTTTTTGTAAGTGTTCAGGTAAAATTTATTTTTAACATGAACATAATTTTTTTTTTATTTGTGATGTCTTTAAAAGTATTTTATTTCCTAATTAATATTTTTTTTTCATTATTAATAGTATTATATAGATAATGAAATCAATTAAAAAAAAATTTTTAAAGTAACGTAGGTAGCAAATTTTTTTTTTGAAGGGCACCCTCCGCCCCTCTTTCCTTTGACAATATTCTGGTTTGTGATATTATGTTAGGTTTATTTTTCTGTGTTTTATCTGCTATAATAAATTGTAAAAATATATCCTAATGTTTGTTTTTGTCTCTTTTTATATTTTTAATAATTTTAATTAATATAGTCTTTGAACTTATAAAATGTTTTTAAAAATCAACAAGTACAGAAAAGGGGCATGTTAAATGCAAAAATTAAAACTGGTGATTTTTTTATTTATCATTTTGTAAATTGTTTATAGATACTATACAAGTGCTAATACTATACAACACTTTCTCACAAGACTGAGTCTTTTCAATCATGTGGTGAAAGTTGAAGCATTGCTGTCTATTGTTGGGTTTAATTCATAAAAACATGTTGGGTTTCCACTATAACTTCTGCCTGGAGTGTTTTTTCGTACAGATCTGAACACATACACTAACAAATCCTCCCTACAGTCAGAATTGTTAAGACAGGCTGTCCATGAGGTGATTAACAATGTACCTACTGAGGCTATTGTGATTGACGCAGATGACAGCAATTGAACATGCAGGCAGTGGGGTTTATATAAAACACGGAAAAGAAGATTCTCTTAAACAAAGAAATGCTGATTATGCCTCAGTTTTCTGCTCTGAATTGATTGCTATAGATATGGTTCTGGATTATGTATTGGAGTGAAATTTTTTCAGGGAAATATGGATACTTTCAGATGGTTAAAGTTTTCTACAATATGTCGAAAATTGCGCAGACATTACTAATCAGAAGGGAATTGGCGTAATTAAAAAACTTAAAACTCTGTCAGAGACTCCACCTGCAATGGATGCCATCTCATGTTAATCTGAAATATAATGATATAGCAGTTAAACAGCTCTGCTATCCCTCAGACGAAAGCGGAACCTTTGACATACATTGAACTGTACTCTAGAACAAAGGCCTCTATTGACAGGGTGTGCAGCGTTATTAAAAAGTGCTTAAAGGTGCTTATTTTCGTTTCTTAAAAGCCCTTAAAGGTGTTTTTTCCATGGGTGTTTTTAAAAAGTGCTTAATTTTCCCTTTCCGAAATGCGATATTTTTCTTTACCATGTTGATTTTCGCCACAAATTATGCAAAAAGACATTGTCCTATTCAACGTTTTCAGAACTAATTCAACCCCAATCTATTTCAGCATACCGCCTGTCTGTAGTGAATGAAAACACCATTTGTTTTACATGTTTGATGAATTACTTGCGGGTCCGCACTTGGGTATACTGAGCTGGATTCACTGATAACGATTTTTTACTCTCATGTGCAACCCTACTGCATTTTACAAGAGATCAGACTTCATCTTCCGCCCTCTGTAGTAGAATTTTTGCTGATTACGGGGACCAACTAAACATTGTCAATTTTTTTTCTCTATTAGCAATAGAAAATTTGATTTCTCTTGTTAATCATCGTTTGTGACGTGCCACCGTCCTCGCCAATGTAAATAAAACTGGTTAAAACCATCGATTGTCAAAAACTTGTCAACCCTGTCTAATTATGATATTTTTCAAAATACTTAAAAATGTTTTTCCATCGCTTGAAAAGTGCTTAAAAGGTGCTTATTTTTTGTTGAAAAATTTGGCTACATACCCTGATTGACATTTCTTAGAAAGTAACCAGTGCATCCATGGTATAGAAGTGGAGATCCAGATATTGTCTTAAAATTTGAGGGGAAAAGGCAAGACCAAACTACTTTAACACATTTAACTTCTGGTCACTTAAGGACCATCAGATTCCCCTATCAGAAGTTGGAGATTTGTACTAATTGCAATACGGATTGAGCTATTTCACAACATCTACTGAGTTGTGTTGCCTTAGTGCGGGATGACATTTTAAAGTAACCTGACATAGTGCTGAGGGAGATGAGGGCGAACTAACTTATGGATCTAATCTGTTTCAGATTAGAAGGAGAAGACTATGTCACAGAGAAGCCTTTAAATGCTTTACCTTATTAATATTTTAAATGAAGCACTCTCGCGACTTTCAGATGGTGAATGGTATGATGGAGAATTAGGTGTCTCAATAGCTTGGCTGTGGCAATGTGATCAGCATTGCACCTGTTGCGCTTTGCTTCTGAGTCTAATTGATACCCATTTATCTGTAATTGGAAGGGCTGGATTGTATAGAAACCATATGCCTTTACAATGATGAGTTTGTACCTTAATTATTGTAGTTAAAAAATTATATGCTTTTGTATGATACATACGACGCCCGGTGGCTGAGCGGTAGCGCTTCGCGCTGTCGTGCCACGAGTCCCTGGTTCGATCCTCTGGCCAAGCAAGGTTGACTCAGCCTTTTATCCCTTCAGTGGGTCAATAAATGAGTACCAAGCATGGTTGGGAACTAAACACTGGGGGTTCCGCTTTCGGCTGACGACCTGATCGGAACATCTGCTCCTGCACCCCAGAGCCCAATGTTAAGAAAACTGAGATGGGCACAGTATGCCTTGGCCCTCTGTGGGCTGTTGCGCCACTGAGTTGAGTTTAGTTATGATACATACATCAATTTAAATTGCAACATTTTTATATCTTTGAATTATAAGAATATTTCATGTATTAATGACATTTTTTTAATTAGATTTAGGTGCAGAACATATTTAAAATAGTCTAATTAAAGTTTTAATAAATAAAAAGCATTTATTAGAAGATATTAAATATAGATATAGTACAAAGTTAAAAACGTTAAAGCACTTTTTTTCTCTTGCCATTTTAATTCAAGTGCATAGTATTTATGAAATAAAGTTGTTTCTTTTCCTGAAAAAGAAGGGATTTTTCTGCTCTTGGTTTTTGCTTTGAATTTCTCATTTTTATATTCTAATGAACATGACTATTTTTTAGGAAAAATGAGTGCTGATAACCTCTTAAATGAAAACAAAAATAATGCAGTTAAGCGAATCAATAAAAGGTACATATTTTTTATCATTGCTTTTGTCTTAACATTTTTCTTTTTTAGTGTAATTTTTAGCATAGTTTTATTACATTAAAACTTCAGCTTCAATAACCTTCAAGACTAAAGTGACTGAGAATTATTCATAAGTTGTTTAACTTTCATTAACTATTAATTTACTGACAGGTTTATGAATAGTCTTCTTCTGTTATTTTTGTAATTTTTAGACCAAGTATAAATATTAAAGGGTTTTATCTTATATTCCTTAGTACAAGAAACAATATCTGTTCATAAAAAGTCAGATTTTACATAGCTTAAAAAAAAAATGATTTAAAAAGTCATTTAGATATGTGTTTTTAAAAAATTATATTTACAAATGAAAAAGAATACAGATCAATTTTGAAATCATTTCTCGGTACCTTCACAAAATTAGCAGACCAAAGATGCTCCCTCACAAAACATCAACATTTTGTCAATTATTCTCCCAAAAATTGGCAGTTTAACAATAACTTTATAAAAAGATAAGCAAAATTCTCATAAAATTAATTATTTGTATCAAGGCGTTTAGGTGCACTTCTTAATAAAACAAGCACCAAATAAATTGTAATCTGAGAGCAACTAACTATCTGATTATTAAGAATGTGCCATTAGCACACTTGCCTTATCCTTCCAAAATGAACTTCATGCTTCATTAGATAACCAATGATTAGATTCGTCCTTGTTGATAACTGATCAAGTGAAACTTCAACCTAGTGTGCTTGAGTTTAGAACATTAAACTATGTGAAGGTTAACTGTTAACCTTTCAGTGTCTGCTTTGATTTTAGAATTCCCAGGTAACATGTCAAATTATCAAACAGCATGCACAATGAAGAAGGTAATACCTCTTATCAGATCAGAAAGCAGTCTGCAAAATAATGAGTATTCATATCAATCTAAATGAATATATCTAAAAAAGACAAACGTAATGATAGTTTAGGTATGCAATTGTTGGAAATATTTTTTAAAGCTGTAAATGGCAATTGTACCAAGCATTTTGAAATGCAGTCATCCAGTTGAAATTTCGAAAATAGTAATAAATAAGAAAAAAGCGTATAATTTAGATTCATTTCATCCTTTGTAATTTATACTTGCATTTATTATACAATCTTATATGTTAGACTGAAAACATATAAATCTCAAAAGTATTGAGTCATTGAAACAAATTTAAAATATGAATTCTGGTTTATGCTTCATTAACTTGTAACCGCTTGTTATAATAAAAAAAGATTGATTTAAAAGTTTATTTTATTTTTTTGTTACCGTTTGCTATAAAAATATAGATGAACAAAAAATATGCAAAAATTAAAATACTGTGTAAATTTTTCTCAAAAATTACAATGTTGTATAAATTTTTCATGTAAGTAAGGGTTACGTTTCCCATTCTGTCTTGGTTTATGATCTAACAAAATGAAGAAAAAAGTAAGAAACAAAGCCCTTACTGATTATTTTACTGAATCATTGTTAACAGAATCTTTTTTTTAAAAATTTTTTTTGTAGAAATACTGATTGTTATTGTATATTTAATTATGATGAACTTTTTAAAGTAACCTTTACACTCTACAAATTCTTTTCAATTAACATTTGCAGAGCTGCCAACTGTTCCTATGAAATCGTATTTGTTCCGAATTTTCAGCTTTGTTCCGAAAATACGATTTTAGATCAAAATGTTCCAATTTTTCGATATTCTAGCACCTTTTCAATTCTCGTGCCAATTTTCTTTCAACCCATGACAGATCTAATAACCTGAAAGCAGGTCATGTGATTTTCCGCGAATTTCACAGATTGCCGCATATCTCAAGACCATTGGTTAGTGGACTCCCGTGAATCAAAAATTTATAATCCGACGAAATTTTGAAACTTTAGCTAAATCACGCTAACAAGACATTTATGATTCTTACGCCAATTTGATTCCTTTATTTTAGCTGCTTTTCGCCATTTTAAATATTAGGAACTCTGTCAGAATCTGCTAATATCGGAATTCTTATTCACACGATTTTAATATCAATCATTGATTTTGGTATTTAGCTGATTTAAAATTTGCGAGATCTAAAAATTCAATATTGCAATTTGTATTTTCTTGTTTTTAAAATCCAATATCGCTATTCTCCTGAAAAGTTTTTTTTTTTTTTAAAAATTAGTTGCAATAAAGTTGTGATATTCTTCATTAATAAATAATTTAATTAAAACTGTTAACTCAAAAATTATGTTATATGAAACGTGTATGGTTTATATATTGATATTTTGCTACTGATATTATGATTTTTGATATTCTGTTTTACTCTTTGTGTCATTATTTCCCCTGATTGGCTTATCCTGCTTTGTGTTCCAGTTTTTGTTTTTAACAAGTTGGCAGCTTTGCATTTGATTTTAGAGGGAAAAAAATCATGTCTTAACCTTTTATAAAAATATATGTCACTTTGGTCGTTACTTTAATTGTTAGTTTAATATTTTTGAAAAACACAAGATTATGTATAATTTTTTTTATGATGGATAATATTTAAATGTTTAAAAAAATCTTTATCTTGAGTATGGCATTGACATGTGGGTCTTTCTTTTTATTTTAGCAAAAAGCAACGTGAATACCGGGATTCTAAATATGGATATGGGGGTAAAAAGAAAGGTTCAAAATACAATACTTCAGAAAGTACTGATATGAATTTTAAAAGTCAGGGAAAAAAGAATGCTCCTTTTAAGAAGGTAAGATCTGTTCTGATAAGGAAAGAAATATTGTTTTCCAAATTTTTCTATTTAAATAATATTGTAACACGAGGATTTTACTCATAGCTTATTTTTATTCTCACAAAAAATTCTTTTTTTGATGCTAATACTAATTATTCAAATTTATTAGCACTTATATTACAACCTGTTGGTGTATTATTATTTTCCTAAATTTTCTTTCTTATGTACAATAATGTAACACAGTTGATTAGTCACATCTTTACCTATATATAGTATACTTTCGATTCGCTAAATATATTTTAAAAAATAGAATAATGTATTCTAAAATGGTTCTCTAAAAAGTAGAGTCATGAAACATAAGAATGACTACTAATAATTATGTATGCAATGATAGTTGACTGTAAGTCAAAATAGAGCATTGATAATTTTAAAAGTAAGACAAAAATAATCATGCATTAAAGAGATAAATATTAAATTACAATAAACTTACATGGTGAATTTCCGAAAAAATTCATTTTCTATTTTAAAAAATATTCGATATAACAAGGTTTTGAGATCTAGAAGTTGGAGATATCGAGAGTTCATATAAATTTGAAGTTATATACTGTTCCTACTTTGATAAAATGCTAAAGAGCCATTCTCATTGCATGTGATTCTGGGATGATTCTTGAAGGAGAATTAAAGTCTGATTCCAGAAATAAAGCCTCATGAAAAACTCTCTAATCGCGTTCTTGTTTTCTCTCAATGACCATTGGAGGTGCATGAATTGTGTGAAGGGTTCTAAAAGGAACATAGTCCTTTAACTATTGTTTTTGCACCCCTTTGAAGTTTTGAATTTAGGTGTTTGTCAAAGTTTGGAAAGTCATAATTTTCACTAAAAACGAAACTCAGCGGCGCAACAGCCCATAGAGGGCCAAGGCCTACTGTGCCCATCTCAGTTTTCTTGGGCTCTGGGGTGCAGGAGCAGATGTTCCGGTCAGGTGGTCAACCGAACGCGGAACCCCCAGTGTTTAGTTCCCAAGCATGCTTGGTACTCATTTATCGACCCACTGAAGGGATGAAAGGCTGAGTCAACCTTGCCCGGCCCGAGGATCGAACCAGGGACCTGTGGCGCGACAGCGCAAAGCGCTACCGCTCATCCACCGGGTGTCTATAATTTTCACTAAGATTAGCAAAAACTATATGTGATGCCATTATAGGAATTACATATTTCTTAGCTTTTAAAACTTCTTTCATTTCATACATTTATTTTTTAATCATTCTTAATCCAACTTTAATGTATTTGAACAATAATTTAATTTATATTGCATTTTATATAAAAAGCATATATAAATATTCTCTTCTTAACAATCAATAACGGCTAACTTTTTAATTCAATACAAATATATAACTCATTAATTCACTATCACGACTAAATCAAGCATCAAAATCTATTTTTAACTCTTTTATTCTTTAAGCTACTTTATTTCTCTCACCACAAAAATGTTTCAGTTTCATGGTTATATTAATTTTCACTGCCTTTTTGTGATTGAGCTATAGCCAAATTATTTAAATATTGATATGAGATATCGTGAGGTTGGCTGCATTGACTGTTCTTTCGGCAGTGTCCTTTTTTGATAATGTGCTTATAAAGGATCTCTCCTGTACTACAAAGCATTGATTAAATACTTCTTTTAATGTGACTTTTGACTTGGCAGGCCAGTCTGCCCTTGTTACATGGTGCGTAGCGTTTTTAAAAAGTGCTTTGAGGTGCTTATTTTCGATTTTCGTTTTTTAGAAGCCCTTAAAGGTGCTTTTTTCATTAGGTGTTTTTGAAAAGTGCTTAATTTCCCCCTTTTGAAAATGAGATATTTTCTGTTACCATATAGATTTTCGGAACGTATTATGCAGAAGCGTGCATTTCACATTGTTCTATTCAACTTTTTCCCCATTCATTCAACCACAATCTATTTTGGCGTACCTTCGATCCATAGCATATGAAAGAGCCAATCATTTTACATGTTTGATGAAATACTTGAGAGTTCGCATGTGTGTCTACTGATCTCGGCTCGGTGAGATTATTGCACTCTCATATGCAACTCTGCTACATTTTGCTTGTTGAACCGAAAAATCTCTCTATATTTTTATGGTGACTAATATAATCAAGAAAAGAATTCTTTGTCACAAACTAGTTATTTTATCATGATCATGTAAAGCCTTCGAAAATTATTTTGCATTTGTTAATGTTTATAGTGCTTAAAAATAGTTTTCGAGTGCTTAAAAAGTACTTAAAAGGTGCTTATTTTTTGTTGAAAAATTTGGCTACGCACTATGTCTTAATATTATGCAAAATTTATTATTTTACATAGAAAGTCATTTGAGTAAAATATTCTTTTTATTTTGTACCCCAAGCTCTACAACTACTACTGAATTTTAAGGATACCATAGGAACTGGCATTTTTTTTTAAATAGATTATTAAGCAGTGTAGATCAAAGTTTTATAGCAAATGTTAGTTTTAATTTTTTTTTTCGTGTCTTAAATCAAATTGATACAATCTTAACTTTACATTAATTTTCATTGTTATCATTAAGATTTGTTTTCCATTTTATACAACATATTTAAAATAATTCCAAAAAGAATGCTTTTTTTTCCCCTAAATTGACTTATTCAGCTTTTTCTTTCTTTCTTTGAGGCTTAACCCAAAAAGACCATTGATATGATTTGAATTATATTACTCATGTTTTATGTGATGTAAACTTTTAGAATTGATAATCTCGATTGAATAATGTTCTTTTCAAATACCCTCTTTTTATATTTTTTATTCTTTAGCATTAGCAGTAGTTTTACTTTATTGCAAATTTAATTTATGTTTTTTGCTTTATATTTTCAGAATGCAAAATTTGGTAAGCAACGAATGACAAAGCATCGAAGACGTAGATGAATAAAATTTGTAAAATTTTGCTGTTTTTTTAATACTTGTAAATAAAAGACATCATTTCATAGTTTTGGTTATCTTTTCATTTTTGAAATATAATTTTATTTCTGTCTTACAATTTATGCGTTGTATTTATTTTTTATCAGTAACTTTTTCTCACAGTGAGCTGATTGTAAACCCTAATTCTCATTAAATCTCCGTAGTCAAGTATTACTAGTTGTAGTCAGTGAGCAATTAGATGACTACTTTGATTAGCTTCTGAAGGGAATGAGGGCAATCGGTATCAGTCTTCATTAAGCTGTTCTAGTGTAAATTGCTCAATATTGTGCGCATGTCAGTGGGCTGCCAAAGCAAGGATGCCATTTGCTCTTCAGATTCGCCGAAATTAAGGTGAAATGTCTTCCTATCATCTTCAGATGTTTCCAAAACTGGGGCCAATAGCATATTGTATAGCTCTAGTGCGAGGTAAATTAAGTTCTATTGCTACTGAGAGCCTTCGCTATTTTTAAAGCACTGTTTCCTCAATAAAAATATTTTACATTGGATTTGATTTACTTTCATCACGCTAATATTGGGCTCTTAACCTAATTTTTCCTCCTTATATTTTCGTGCCACGCTTAGAACATAACTCCATTTAATTTTATTGTCTTAACCATATAATCATTTTTGTGTTTGGTGTAGCTTAGCTGCACCTATCTCTTTTAATGTAAAATAAGTACACAATACTTATGATGTTAAATGATGATTGTCTATCTTATTTTCTTTTATAAATAACGCTAGAATCAGCATTCTAATTTGGCACAACATGCTAGCTGTCATTAAACAAATTTTAATTTATTTAATGACATTATTTACAAAATTTAAAATTCAAGACTTCTTTTAATTTTAGATAAGTGTAATTATGATCAGGGTTTGGTTATAAATTGAGTTAAATCAATAAGTTGTTACCTTGAAAGTTTTTTATACAAAATGTGAATGTTGAATTTGTTTCTTCAGTATTGGGTAGTAACAATTTCAACTTTTCTAATTCTTCTGAACATGTTTTACAATTTAGCCTCACTTTCAGTAGCTTCCATTTTTCTGAGGAAAATTATATTTCAAGCCAAAAGTATACTGCTTGTAAGTTTTAAGAACAGTTACAGCCATTTTATAAATTTTAGTTTTATAATTATTATTTAATTTACACTTTCTAGGAAACTTAACTGACGTTTTTCTTGTTTTGGTGTGTTTGCTAAAAAATTTTCCTTAACTATTCTTTAAAATAAATAAAGAGATATGATGCTTTTAACATGATAAAAAACTTTTTAGTAATTGAATACGGAATTAATTATGGTACAACTTGTAATTGTTTTAAAATTTTTGGGTTAGGCTAAATACTTGCCAAGTCTCCTGTTTTTTACCGAAGACTCCTGTATTTTACAATTATCTCCTGTTTACCTGTATATTCCCAAATTTCTCTGTATTTGTTGAAGAAATTTAAAAAAATTAGTGAAAAAATATCCACTGATGGCGAAAATACTTCTCTTATGACTGGTCGATAAAAATTCCGCATCCGACTTGCACCGACCACAGGGCTGACGTGAAATATCCTCAGCGCTAGACTGATCACAGGTTTGAGTCCCCTCGTCATCAGACTTACCGTGGGACGTTTTCCTCTCCATGTAACTTAAGTGCCGATTATTTTCATTAAAAAGTCTTCCACAAGAGCAAATTTCTCCCAATACTTGATCCAGGAGTTCCCTTGTCTTCTGGATTGAGTTCAAAATTACAGGGCTACGAAATTAAACATCAGGAGTCGTAAACCCAAAACTGGATCAGTTAGTAAAATCTCCGTTATTTTATTTCTCCAATGTTGGTAGGTATGTATATAGACAGGTGAAGTTTGATAACCTTTATCTGTTATCTTAAATTTTCTGAGAGGAAGAAGTTCAAAAAAAGGAGGAAACTTGCATAGCGTTTCTCAGAAGTGCTTAAAGATGTTAACTTCAAAAACCCTTAAAGGTGCTTACTTTCATTCAGTATTTGATATATTAGGGCTGATTGTGCTCCGGAAAAAATCCTGATTTCCGGATTTTTCGCTAACAGTGATCCGGAAGTTTCCGGGGATCGAAAGTCCAGACGTTTCAAAAAATCATTGATCACTTAAGTTTCCGGAAATCAAATTTTTAAAGGTGGAACTTAAAAACACAGTTTATTTAATTTGTATGTAAGGGAGAGCCACAGAGATAATTTATAAGCTTATATTCATGATTAATATTCATTTTTTATCACTAAATAGTTGTTATAATCATTAACTCAAAAAAAAAGGCATATTTGTAAATTTTAATTACTTCTCCAGGTTATCATAGGTATGTGTAAATGGTATAAGTATGAGTAAAATTTTAAATATATTTTTAGTAAACTAAGAAATATTGAGAAAAAGGAAAAAAAAAAAAAAAACCTTGTTTAAATATTTTTCAATTTAAACTGTTTCTTTTTTTTTTTCTTCAAATTCAGGAAATTTTCCGGAATTTTGACTTGGACTCACAATCACCCCTGGTATATTAAAAAATAAATAAAAAATGCTTAATTTTCTTTTTCCTAAAGGAGATTTTTTTTCTTTGCTATGATGATTGTCACCATGAGTCACGCAAAAAGTGTGGTTTTCACAACGGTGTCATTCAACAACAACCCTTTCCGTCATTATGCATGTTGGATGTTTTACGGGTTAGCAAGCATGTAAGCTAAATCGGATTCTTTGAAAAGATTCCAGCACAAACGCGTGCTGCTCTCTGCATTTTACAAGAAATTTCCGATTTCAGAGTTCATCTCATGCTCTTTGAAATCTAACCGAAATAATTACGAATTTTGGGCAATCACGGGGATTAACCATTACCAAATATTTTTCCTATTAGCAAATTAAAATTTTGTTTTCTCTTCCTGATAATTTCTTCACTGGTGAAACGATATTGTTTACGTCACTCGAAACCCCTTGACGTTCTAGCACTGTTTTATTTTTAGATCAGTACGACATTCTTTGAGCATGATTTGGGGGTTGTTCAGTAATTAAATTTATTCATATGGGTACAGAGCAATCGACAATTGCAGAACTTCATCGCTTTAAAAAATTTATCTCCCTTTCATTCATTTGATATAATAAGGATAAGATTTAATTACTATTTTATAATCGCAGAAATTTGCTAGTCCACTAATTGTATAAAATATTTTGGACTTTTTATTGTAGTCTTATATCATTGGATTATCATTAGTCTTATATCATAGGATTATCATTAGTCTTATATCATTGGATTTTTTTTATAACCGCCGTTGAACGGCGGACCCAAATTTTGGGTTTACGACTACTAATGGTCGTAACTACGTAGCCTTCTAATTTTGAACAAAATCCAGGAGACAATGGAACTCCGAGATCAAGTATTTGAAGAAATTTTGCCTTCGTGGAGGACGTTTTGATAGAACTAACCCGCATTTGCGTTACATGTAGAGGAAGACCACAGGAACCTCCCACGGTTAGCCTGACGGCACAGGGACTCTAACCCATGATCCGTCTACCACTGAGGATATTTCCCGTCAGCACTGTGGTCTGTGCAAGCCGGATGCGGAATTCGTATCGACCTGGGATTCGAACCCCGGTTCACCTCATTAGAAGGCGAAAGCTCTATCCCTTGAGCCATCTCGGCTCTGCATTTGTTATTTAAATGTTCTGTACTATTGAGTTATTTTATGGAGAAATTCTATATTTTTTAGAGGCAAGATTTTATAAAAGTATGAATTGAGGGGCCTTTAACTTATTTAATACTGGGTGTTGAATAGATTTAAAATTATGCTTAAAATGTTTTTATGCTGGCTGAAACTCTAAAGCAGAGTTTGTTGCCGAAAACAAATTTTTATTTGTCATGATTATGTAAACAATTTGCAATTAGTTTAGTTTTATGTATGAAGAAAATGCATAAAATTAACATGAAGAATCATGTTAATTACAGTTAGAACTTTTAATAATAGAAAGAAAATCTTTTTATTTGCTCACAATTTTCTTATAGTGCTTAAAAATGTTCTTGAAGTGGTTAAAATGTACTAATTTCTTGTTGAAAAAATTGGTTATGCACCTTGATTTAGACAAGTGACGTCTAATATTAATTAGGCATAATTAATGTTAGATTATAAAAATTAACAATATGTAATTACATTATATTGTAATAATAATCATAATTAACACCATTCTTATAAACACAAAATTAACATTATGTTAATGCGAAATTTCTAAAATTAATAACCTCGCAAACTACCAAATCAAGTACATTATGTACAGTCGAAGTTCTGATGTACTTCTAACAAAAAATACTTAAATTATCATAATGAGTTCATGTTTTATTTTAATGATTGCACCAGTATTATAAAGGGTGATGTTCACTTTAACTATATAATTGCCTAAACAGCAGAAACTTTAAACCGGTGAAATTAAATAAAAAATGAACTCTGATATTGATTATGCTAATTTTGATTGAAATCAAGATATTCTGTTCTTCTCAGAAATTCTTATCCTAATATATTGCTGAAATTGCTTTTAATTTTTTAAAAACTTTATCAAAAGAAGTTAGTTGCAGATATATTTATTTCTCACTCTTGTTTCTATTTGATTAAGGCTATTTATAGAGCTGTCATTTTTAATTGAAGGATTTATTGTGAAAAATGTTAAGCCTCATATTCGAATTTCGTTTTTTAAATATTCATGAGGTAAAACTTTCTCATTTCTAAATAGTTACATACTATTAAAAATTAACTTTATTTTTATCATTTAGAAATAATCTTTATACACGTGAGCTTTTTGTAAGAACTTTGAAGCAAATATACCTGATTTTAATTTTCAAATCACATTGATTCATGGTGATGGTATAATTGACGTATGCAACTTAATTCTCTAATAGTTCTTAATTAAGCAACGTTTTGTTTCGAAATGTTTTAAAGGACAGGCGGCTATTTGATAGTCTCGTAGGTTTTAGTCACTGATGTTGTTAAAAAAAAAAATGAATGAGATAAACATTGTCACTACTATAATATCTGCAGATTTAA